ATCTTGCCGTACCCTGGCAGTGGAGCGGCAGAGGGCCAGCCCTGACCGTCCATGGCTCTGTCCCGTGTCCGGTTCTGCTGGCTTCAGTCCAGGACACAGCCTCCGTTGAGTAGTTTGTGGAGTGCAGGGTGCTTGCAAATCCCCAAGCAAAATCAGTCTTCTAAACAGATGTGGATGTAACCTCAACAACTGGCTCGCATCCCTCCAGGAGGAGGAATTCCTCCTGTGCCTTCCCAAGTGATGGGTGTCCGCGGGCTGCTGGTGCAGGTAGAGCTGTTCCCTGTCTGGGGTGCAGCAGGACAAGGGCTGTGAGATGTGCTGGATGAAGCGGAGAGATGCTTTGGGTGCCTTCCTGCTGCAATCACCCTTGCTGGCCAGTCCTGCTGGGACTGCTGCCGAGGCCCAGTGCTTGAGCAATCCCTTCCGATCCCCTGTTGCGTTTTGCATCCCGTAGCTCCGGGGAGCTGGGCAGGGGTGGGAGAAGGAGCCAGCCTGCCGCCGGCTGGTGATTTGCCCCATCCCTGCCAGCAGAGCAGAGGTGACCCCGGGACCAGGGCTTGGAGGGGCTGGCAGCAAAGCCAAGCTGGTGAGAGGCGTTTGGCTGCCGCGCTGCCTGGCTGTGCTGCCTGGCTGCTCCCCAGCCCTTGCCGGGACGAGGGAGGCGATTACATCCCGCTGAACACACAGCGGTGCTGCCTGGGGCAGAGGTTGGGGCTGGGGGTGGGGGCCGAAGGCAGGAGCAGATCAGTCACTTCCACTGAAGCAGGGATGGCTGTTTTTGCAAATAAAGCTCTTCCCTGGAAGTCTTAAGTTGGCTCTTCCCCTTCCTACCCTGTGAGACCTGAGCTGCTGCCTTCAGCCTGGTTTGAATCACCCCTGTGGCAACCACCTCCCATCCAAGTGTTGGAGCAGGGGTGGGCCACCCAGGGCAGGTCAGGAGCCCCCAAAATCAGCTGCCTGAACCCTGCCAGACATGTGGCAGTGAGGAGAGCCAGGCTGGTGGCATAACCCAGGCTAACGTTGTGTCCTCCCAAAGGATCATCTTTTCCACCCCGTTTGCTGTCATCGCCTACTTTCTCATCTGGTTTGTGCCAGACATCTCCAGAGGCCAAGTGATGTGGTACCTCGTCTTCTACTGCATCTTCCAGACGCTCATGACGGTGAGTCAGGCTCTGCGCACACCAGGGGTGATGGGTGAGGGATGGAGAGTATGAATCCCTGCCTTCACCTCGCTGAGCTACGCAGAGGGGCAGGTTCCCATCCCTGAGCTAATTCTCCTCGCGCTGTTGCAGTGCTTCCATGTGCCCTACTCGGCGCTGACCATGTTCATCAGCAGGGAGCAGAGCGAGCGGGACTCGGCCACCGCCTACCGTAAGAATATTTCCTTCCCTTCCTCGCCATGGCCGGGGACAGCCGGTGCTCAGCTCCTTTGCTGCAGCTCTCGCTGGGGCATGATCCTCCAGATGCCCTGCTGGAAGGTCTCACTTGATCACACTCCACCCCAAGGCGGAGGGCTTCATTCAGGGAATGAACATGTTCAGGGAACTTTGTTCAGGGCTTGAATTGCAGCTGGCCCAGCTCTTCCCATTCCTCTTCCCCGGCTCCTCTAGCCGACATCCTTGTCTAGTCTGGTGAGAGCTGGGCTGATGGGGAGGTGGTCCCTGTTACGGCCAAGTGCCTGGAGTGGATGGTGGTGGATCTGAGCTCCCCAGTCTTTCCTCCTGCTCTGTCATACAGCAGTAGGAGCAGCATGACCAAACCTTGGTCTCTCCCCAGCCTCAGTATCCCCAGCAGACACTCTCCTTCCCAAGGCTTTATCACTTGGTGATTTGGAAGGAGCTGTAAGAGAGCTGAGCTGGCTCATTTCTCCTGGTGAAGGGCAATGAATTGCAGCTGGGGAGGCTCTGCTGTGGAGAAGGGCTCTGCACCCATGCCCTGGGTGCCCAAGGGCTGTGCTCAATCCCTCTGGCCTCTCCTTCCAGGTATGACTGTGGAAGTGCTGGGCACCGTGCTGGGCACAGCCATCCAGGGCCAGATCGTGGGCAAGGTGGTTACTCCCTGCATCGAGAGCCCTCTCTTCATTGGGAAGACCAACTCTTCGGTGGCCATGGAGGAGCTAAACATGACCCACGACACCGGGTCACTCACAGACACTGTAAGCTGGGGGGGACCTGCTGGCAGCCCCTGCCATACCCTCCTTGCTTTTTGACCGGGCTGGCTCCTGGGACGAGCCCCCTCCCTCACTGCTCCCTCCTCTCTTGCACAGAGAAATGCCTACATGATCGCTGCAGGGGTCATCGGGGGCCTCTACATCCTCTGTGCTGTGATCCTGTCGGTGGGCGTGCGGGAGAAGAGAGGTGAGGCTTGAGACGTGGAGTACTCCGGACTCATGGAAATGTTGTGGCTCCTGCCAGGGGCTCCTCAGGAGCCTGGCTGAGCTCTTGGGCCCTCATTCATGGGTCAAGCACCAGAGGAGAGGGGCAGGTAGAGCTGAGGTCTGGGTGTGGGGGCCTGGGGAACGTGCTGCAGAAGGACAGTGCTGTGGGCAGGAGACCAGAGCATCTCCAGGGTACATTACAGCACAGTCCTGAGGACTTATCTCCATCGGAGATAAACGTTATCTTGCAGTTTTGTCTGGCCAAGGTTGCTAGTGCCAACTAGGGCATCCTGGGGTGAGGTGATATCCAAAGTCCAGTAGCCTCTGTCCTTCCCTCCCTCTGCTTTGCAACCAGCTCTGCTTATCCTGGGCAAATCAGCCAGGCCATCCTCTCCCCTCCATGGGGCTGAGGGACCCCTGGGTGAGGGCAGGGAGATCCCTGCAGGCATTGCCCTGACTCCCTTGGGGTGTGATGCCGCAGGTGGGCAGGGGCTTGTGTGTGGTGCTTAGCAGCAGGCATGACGCGCTGCACCCCTTGCACCCAAGGGTGCCGCTTCAGTTGATCTAACGATGGGCTGATTTGCTCTGCTCCCCAGAGTCCTCTGAGCTCCAGTCGGACGAGCCTGTCTCCTTCTTCCAGGGGCTGAAGCTGGTGATGAACCACGGTGCCTACATCAAGCTCATCGCCGGCTTCCTCTTCACCTCGCTGGCCTTCATGGTAAGCAGACCCAGGGGAGAGGGGACAGAAGCAGCACAGCTTAGAGATGGCTGGGGGACAGGCAGCATAGGGCCCGAACGGGATCCCGGTGGGCTGGGAGCATGTGAGGTGGCAGCTCAATGAGCCGGAGCCGCCCCGGGCAGAGGAAGGATGTGGCCTTGTGCCCTCAGATGGGCTGGTGAATGGCCGCTTTCTTCCCCTGCTTGCGCTCTGGGCGCAGCCTTGCGAGGAGGAGTGCATCCCTCTGGGGTGGCTGGGGTGCCCGTCCCTCCCCTAACCGCCGCCTCTCTCCTCCGCAGCTGCTGGAGGGTAACTTTGCCCTTTTCTGCACCTACACCCTGGGCTTCCGCAACGAGTTCCAGAACATCCTCCTGGCCATCATGGTGCGTATGGCCCTGTCCTGGGGGCTGGGACTGCGGTGGGTCGTGTGCTGTGGGATCCCCTGGGCTGAGGCTGTGTGGCTGCGATGGCCCACCACGGGGACAGTGACCGAAGGTCCCCTGGGACAAGGGGAGGGAGAAGGAGCTGCCAAATGTCCTGCAAAGGCTGGGTGGGTTGGCAGGAACAGCAAGGCCTTTGTTCCCTTGTGACGGCAGCCAGAGACGGGACACCAGGAGCCGTGGGGGCCTTTTGTCCAAATCCTGCCACTTATCTGCCCCCCCCGCCTCGCCTTGAGAAAAGGATCTCAGTGTTTACTGCCAGGAAGATGGAGCAAAACAGCTCCTTGAGAGCCCTTTCCAGCTTGCCTCATCCTTGGGAGCACTTCCCACCTTCCCCACTCGATGGGGTGGAGAGGTCCAAGGTGCCAAGGTCCCCACAGAGCCTGGCTCCTGGCCATGCTGTGCGCAGGCAGCGGTGACAAGACCGGGTCCCTTCCCAGCACCGAGGACCGAGTCCCTCCGGGCAGGTGTGCTGGCACCTGCTGGGTGCCCCGAGGATGGCGGTGCTGGGTGCCAGGGTGCTCTGCACCTGGGGAGGAGGTGGCCTGATGCACCCGCTCCAATTGCAAGCTCTCCGTCTTGGGAGCGGAGGCAGGCGAGGGATGGGGTGAGGGCAGGAACAGGCAGCGTGGCTGCATGCCAGCCCTGGGAGCATGTGGAAATCGGAGGTGCTGGAAAAAGCTAGAAATGAGATGGGGAGGCTGTGCCCAGGAGCTGCTCCTTGCTGGGAAGAGCTTTTCCCCCAGAGAAGAGCCTGCCCAGCAAGTGACACCACGACCACCTCCTCTTACCATAGCTCTCGGCCACCTTGACCATTCCCCTCTGGCAGTGGTTCCTTACCCGCTTTGGGAAGAAGACTGCTGTCTACGTGGGCATCTCGGTGAGTGGGTCCCCTCGAGCGTAAGGTGTGGGTGAGGATGGTGTTTCCCACATGGGGTGAGCAGACCTGTGTCCCCCTGAGGGGGCCTGAAGCTGGGCAGGGGCTGCTGCTGCTGCTGACTTGGTGCCTGTCCCTCATTCTGCTATTTCTGCTGTCCCAGATGTGGCCAAGGCCAGAAGTAATGGCCACTGTGGGGCTCTGGGAGGAAGGCTGCACTGCTGCTTCCCCGGCTCTCCCTGAGGTTGGAGGGCTGGCATGCACGGGAGGGAAGGGGAAAGGCCAAGGAGTCTGGGTCAGGCATTGCTGACACAACCTGGTTTCTGTCCCCTATCCAGTCTGCCATTCCCTTCCTCATCATGGTGGCTGTCCTGGACAGTAACCTCATCATCACCTACATCGTGGCTGTTGCAGCTGGGATCAGCGTCGCAGCCGCCTTCCTCCTGCCCTGGTGAGTGCGAGGTCCTGGTGCTCTCAGCACTGCACCCCGAGAGCTGGGCAAGGTGCTTCCAGGGCCTGCTGGAGTCGTTAGAGATCCTTGGGATTTGCAATGTTTTCTCCAAGAGGGGGCTCTTGGAGGGAAATCCTCTCAGCAGGGAGAGGAGATGCTTTGTTGGCTCTGTCCTAGTGGTCACCATTCCGCTCTCCACACAGGTCTATGCTCCCAGACGTCATAGACGACTTCAAGCTGCAACACCCCGATTCCCATGGCCATGAAGCCATCTTCTTCTCCTTCTATGTCTTCTTCACTAAGTTCACCTCTGGGGTCTCCCTGGGCATCTCCACACTCAGCTTAGAGTGAGTTTTTGCACGGGAGAGGAGGAGGAGGAGAAGGGAGGCCAGGCTGGTGCCTCCACATCCAGGCATCTCTGCTTCACAAGGGCTGGCAGGGAGGTGTGGGGGGTCCAAATCCAGCTGTGGCTCCACAAACCTCTACCTGCAGGGACAGGTTTGTCTCCTACAAACTCAGTTTCCTTTGCCTGAAGGTCCCTTTCTGTCTGCAGCTTTGCAGGGTACCAGACCCGGGGCTGCTCCCAGCCCAATGAGGTGAACTTCACCCTGAAGATGCTGGTGTCGGCTGTGCCTGTGGGGCTGATCCTTCTGGGCCTGCTCCTGTTCAAGCTGTATCCCATTGATGAGGAGAAGCGGAGGAAAAACAAGAAAGCCTTGCAGGACTTAAGGTGTGTGTCGGCTTGTGCTATGGAGGTAGCAAGCACGGCATGCCAGTGGGGTGTGTGGGGCAGAATCAGGCCCAGACGGGTTGGGACACACTGTGACTTGTGCAGGAGGAATCCTCTGGGACCCGTGGGTGGTGGGGTGAGGGAAGGGCTGGCTTGTTTTCCCAATCCTGACTTCGAAAGAGATGGCGTGAAGTCTTTGAGACCAACGGGGAACCTGCCCCAGTTACTAAAGAAAACTTGTTTGGGGACTGCGCAAGGCAGTGACGTCCCGCTCAAGCCCTTTGGAGGCTCCTGCGCTCCAAGGTCTGGCTTGGAGGCAGGGCTTGCTCCATGGCTCACTCATGCTTCCTTCCCCAACCCTCTGCCCCCAGGGAGGAGAGCAACAGCAGCTCTGAGTCGGACAACACAGAACTGGCCAGCATCGTGTGACCCCGGGCTGGCTCTGCCCGCTCGCACCGGGGCTCTCCGAAGGACTCGGCCCCTCAGGGCTGGACCAGCCTCGTGCTGCTGTAGGTGTGCGCTGTCAAGGAGCACCTGGGAGAAGCCGTGCAGAGCATCCACCGACTCGAACACGAGATCTGTGCTGGTCTTGTGCCTTCCATGGGATCCACAGAGCGCTGGTAGTGTACATTACACAAATTGACCCTGTGGTACTTGTGTGCCTCACAAGAAACAAGCACTATTCCCTGCTGGGTCCTGGAGAGCAGAAAAGCCCGGAGCGGGATCCTTTTGCGTGCCCGCTGCCCGTCTGTGCCTGGCCTGCGTGGGGCTGATCACCTGTGGGACCGGGGGTAACGGTTAGTGTACATTACACTGTCAATGTGACCGCGCCAAGGACGTGAGCTCACCTCTGCTGTCTGTACATATGACACTAATTTGGAAAGCTGTTCTTTTTTTTTATAGAGCCTAATTAACTTAATGATGTAAATATGAAACTATTTCCTATTTGTATATATCTGTACAGAAACCGAACTTGAGGACCTGTTAATATTAATTTACATAAAAATGGGGGAAGTCAGCAGTGTGGGCATAGAGGATTTTTTTGTTTTGTTTTGTTTTGCTGCTTTTCTTGTGGATGTCAGCAAGCCCAGGGTCCCTTTACATGCCCTGGCGTGCAGGATTGACTTCTCCTGAGCCGAAGGGGCAGGAATGGCATAAAATGCCATAATCCGGGCAGGCAGCCGTGCCCGGCAGCCCCTTACCCCCATGTGGCTCCTTGCTCGGTGCCTGTGCCACAGCAACCCAACAAAGGCTCTATTCTTTTCTCCTTTTCAAGAGGGAACGGGGGTGGAGGGAGGAATGAAATGAAAGTGCTGGCTGCGGAGATTGTGAACCCGGGGCTGGAAACAGGAGAGGCAGCTGGGGAGCGGGAGAGAAAGGGAATGCGGGCTGTGGGTGGCTGCGGGCCGTGGGTGACACTCAACACTTTCTCCCAGGCAGAGTGCTGTGCAAGCTCTAAGCGTCGTGGATATTTATACCTTGCTCTCGCATTCCCCTCTCCGCAGCAGACAGGGACAGAGCCCGGCCCTCCCCGCTCCGCGGGAGCACCGCACTCCTGCGGCAGCCAGTGTAATGCACGGGGAAAGTGGGCTGGTGTTAAAGCACAGGGAGAGGATGCACCAGAGATGAAGCAGCCACCTGAACAGTTGGGGCAAATCCCCAGTGTGAGGGGATGGTGCTAGCTCTGCTGCTCTGTCTCCATTGCCACTGTGCTGGGGAATGGGGCTGTTGCCTTTTGTTAAGCACATTTGTCATACCAAGAAATTTGTGTGGTCAGTGCCTGAGTCAAGAGCAGCCCCTTGGCACGGGGAGGGGCTCAGGGAAGGACGGCTCATCTTTTGTTCTGCATTTGGGTACAAAGGACTGGAATGAGGTTTTAAAAATAGCCAGAGGGATTAGACCTTAGCTGGGAATGCTTAACTGGGTCCCACTCTGCCACCATGTCGGGGGTCACGGAAAGAAGCAAAAGGGATGATGCAAGGAGGCTGGGAGCTGGCTTTGTGCTGAGAAAGGGCAAGAGGCAGCGTTAGCCTTGGCCTGGGTGCCCACTGCTTCCCTGGGGACGGAGCTTGCAGCAAAGGAACAAGGGCAGGACAGAGCAAGGGGGACAAAGCCAGTGCTGTCTGGAGCCGCTGTGGCAGGGCAAGTAGGTGCCATGGGCACCCTCTGCGAGAGGAGGAGGGCGGCAGCGCTCCGGCCAAGCACAGCACTCGATGGTTGCGAAGGTGCTGACCCCTGCTCTGCTCCCGGCCGGGTTTGTGAGGAGTCACCCTGGCCATTGCTGTGACCTGGCTGCCTCCGAGGGGCGGGGGCACTGCTGCCGTCGCCAGCATTTGAAAGATTGCTGCTAGCTTTTCTTTTTCAAAGAGTTTCAACAGAAATCAGGGACGTTTTATTCTTTGCCTCCTCTTTTTTGGCTCTGTGGGGTTCACGAGGAGCCTCTGTTCAGTCTTTTTTGCAGCCAGCTCAAGAGCCTAAAAGCATACTGAGCTTGAACCGGGGCCCAGACATTCCTAGCTGAGCACACCTCTTCTATTTGCAGATTTTAAGAAAATAGATGGGGGGGGGGGATGACCATGCGACTTAATAGCACTGAGACCTGGAAAAAACTCCAGCTTTGAGACAGAGACCATGTCTTGCTTCAAGCATGAAGACAGCCTCTCTGGCATGGGCAGTCTCCCCAGCCAGAGCTGCATGGGGAGATGCTGCCCAGACCTACGGTTGGCCTCCAGCAGCAGCTGTGCTACAGCTTAATCCACCCCAAACTTGAGGAAGCAGATGCATCCGAGTGTCCGGGGAAGCACCTCCCTGCAGAGCTGGACTTACATTGCTGCTGCGTCCTCTGCGCCGGCCGGGTGAGCCCCGTGTGGGGCTGAGGTACTGGCAGTGCTGGCCCTGTGAAATCAAAGCCAGAGCATGGAAAATGCAGGGTGTCAGCTGTGTGCTCAGCACCTGCTGAGCTGATGCTTGTAATGGCATATGGGCTGGGGCTGTGCTGCCCGGAAACCATATGTGAAGCCCTGATTCCCAGCTGATGGGCTTTAACAGGATGAGGGGCTTTAACGGGCTCCTGGGCCAGCTGGGGCAGGGGTTACTGGTCTGGTGACAGGGCTCTGGGGAGCCTTTTCCTGAACCAGGGGGACATTGCTGCCTATGCTGGAAGGGAACAAGAAGGTTTCTGTTCTGCTCAGGGAACCAGGTTGTCTGGTTCCTTTTGTTCACACGGGAAAGGGTCTTTCATTGCACATCGGTGAAGGTGCACGTTAGCACCCAGCTCATAGAAAGAGCCCATGTCCCAGCACCCAGCGCTTGCTCAGTGGGAAGGGCAGGCTGCTGGGGGTACCCCTTTCTTCACTGACACTCATCAGAGTACATTACCGAACCCTGCACCCTTCCCAGGCTTCCAGTCAAGCTACAAGGCTCACCTTGAAGCCCCGGGGAAACCTGCTGGGTGTCAGCACCCAGCGCACATGGCTGAGCCCGGGCTGGTGGGCAGCTCTGCCTCTTGCAGCACAAAGCTCTCTGAGGGGCATTTCAGGAGGATGCTGCCCTGGCCACACCACAGGGCAGCACCGAGGTGAGCCAGCGACATGCCATCCGGACTGGGCGTGCCAGAGGAAAGGTGGGGATGGAACACAGACAGATGTTCACCCCAACAACAGAGCAGTTGTCCTGGGAGGTGACTGCGGAGGGGTCAAAACCAAGCAAACATCAGTCGTGATCTCCAAAGGGCAGCACAGGAATCTGAAAAATTTTACTTATATCCTCCGTTTGTCACTGAGGGTGGCTTTAGAAAGAGGCAGGTGTGTTCCCCCCACCCCGGATGAGGCAGCAGGAGGGACAGTCCCCAAGGTGAGAGTGGCCATGCTGTGTCTGTTTACCCTATGGAGGGTAAGTAGAAGTGTGAAAAGTTGCTCCTTGCTGAGGGTGAGGAATAACCCCCCTCCTTATCCACAGGGAAAGGGCAAAGAGCCTCAGGTTTATCTCGCAGCAGAAAGAGATTTATGAAACTTTCAAACCACTGCTGGTGGGGATGGTTTTCCCTTGGCCCCTGTGCTGGAGGGACCTGTGTGCCCCATGCTGCAGCAGAAGTCATCCCACTCTGGTTTCAGGGAGACTTTACACTGAACCAAGCGCGGGCTCCCATGGAAAGGGGTGTCCGATAGCGGAGCCACCCTGCTGTGCCAGTACGGTCTCCGAGAGGCTGGATCAGGGAACAGATCCAGTTGGAAATTAGCTCAGCCTGGGAAGCTCTGGAGAGAAACAGGACTGACAGAGAAGGGCTGTGCTTGGGATGGAGGTACTGGCCAGCCGGTCATGGCAAGCAAGTCCACCTTCCTGGCAAGTTGATCCCCAGGCGAGGTGTGAGGGGGGCAGAGCTAGCCCAGGGCTGGCTGTGCAGCCCGCGGGGCACAGGACAGAGTTACGGCTGTTCCCAGGGGTCACCTTGTCTGTGCCACCTGGCTAAGGTCACTCACTTTATCTGCAAATAGAGACTGAAGGCTACCGACCTGTTTTGGTGGGCTTTAGTTAATGTTTTGCAAAACCACTGTTTCCAAGAACGATGTAAGCAGCCAAGACACTGCAGCATGTGGCCAGAAACTGATGGGGCAGCAAGACGGTTTCCCGCTACCCCCCCCAAAAAAAAGTCCCTTTTCCCTGGAATTAAGCTTTAAATTGCTTTGCTGGGAAATGGAATGCTGTGTGCAGGCCAGCACTTAGGCTTAGCTTTAACCAGAGATGGGTCAGGGAGCTCTGAAAGCACAGGACTGCCTCAGCCCCTGCCAGAACTGTGTTTGCTCCTGCAGAGGAGTCAGAGGCTGCTGAGTACCACAAGGACCTGGGCTGGAGCTCGAACAAGTGCCCTCCTTACACAACAGAGCAGGGACAAGTGCTCTCCTTTGGCTGCAACAGGCCAAAGGGCACTATCTAGAGGACACAAAGGCATTCTAGCCATTTCATGTCTTAAAAAAAGGAGCAAATATTCCCATGGTACTTGGAGGAAAGGGGGACGAGGCACTGACCACCTGGCAGCAGCATGGGGAAGCTGTAATTTTTTCCCTGGAGACAGCACAGTGTCAGCCACAGGCTGGCATGGTTTATGGGCACGGGGATCACCCACAGAGCACTGACCTGGTTTACAGTCCTCCTGTAAACAGGCAGCTCTTCTGTGACCCAGCCTTACCAGAAACTTGATCTTTGTTCCTCCAGGAACCATGTTCAGCTGAATGGACCCACCCCAGAAGCAAACACACCAGCCTGGAGCTGGGTTGTGATATCCCTGGTGAGCAGTGCTCTTCCTCTCCCTGTTCTCTTGTTATTTCTAGTTCCTCTCCCCAGTCTCGCTTCCTTGTCACGGACGCAGCCCGGGAGGATGGCTCCTGTCTGTGCTCCCCACCAGGATTACTGCTGCCCTCACAGCAGTGAGG